CCACAGGGTAGTGTCCTTTCCCCGCTACTGTTTAACTTTTACATTTCAAAGCTTCCTCAACCACCAGAGGGAGTCTCGATTGTCTCTTACGCCGACGATTGCTCGATCATGGCGACTGGGAATGGAATTGATGACCTGTGTTCAAAAGTAAACGGGTATCTCTCCGAACTTTCTCGCCGCACACCGCACTCAGCCAAGCGACTGGATGCCTCCTGATGTCGCCTGAACGCCACCTACACGACGAGGCGAAATTGCTCCCTGTCAAGGAGCATACCACCATGCTCTGCAAGAAGTTCCTTGTCCGGAGGGATACACGTGGTCACCCGAATGGGCACCTGCTTGCAGCAGAGGCCTCGCCCAGGCACGTTAGGAGGCATCTCTACGAACTGACGGACGAAGTCCAGAGGTTCATTAAACAACCTCTGGACCAGTCAGCATATCGACAGGACCTGAACGGCATTCACAGGGAGTCAGTCTCGAGTTATGTAGACTCCAGACCTGTGAATGCCGTTCTGGGCGCACAACCACCGGACATACACGAGACGGAGATTCATCTGCCTCGGGAGACACGAACAACAATAGCCCGACTTCGCTCTGGCTACTGCAGCAGGTTAAACTCATACCTGAACAGATTGAATGAGGATGTGCCAAATGTGTCCGGCATGCGGAGAGACCCCGCATGACTCGAAACATCTCTTCGCCTGCCCGGAAAACCCGACAGCCCTAACGGCTTTGTCCCTGTGGACCGACCCGATAGAGGCTGCACGCTTCCTAGGGCTGCCGTTAGTGGAACTCGACGACAACGACTGAGATATAAGGCGATTTGGGCGGGGTTGTTGTAGCCGCTACAAAAACAATATCGTGCTCCTTACCAGGAAACGGATCCCAACAATTGTAAATATGAGGGTCGGACCTCAAGTCGTGACAACTTTTAGGACACCAAAATACCTAGGGGTGAAGCTTGACAGCAAACTCACATTCTGGGAACACATCCATGAAGTATGTGAAAAATCTGCGCAGAGCACCGTGGCTCTAAGCCGGCTGATGGCGAACGTGGGCGGCCCGAAGCCATGCCGCAGGAAGCTTCTGATGACACCAGTCCAGTCGGTGCTCCTGTACGGGGCAGAAATATGGGCCGACGCATTGAAAGTCAAAAAATACCGGATTCAAATGTCTTCGGTCCAGCGCAGAGGGGCACTACGCATTGCTTCTTCATACCGTACTGTGTCCGCGGACGCGGTTCTAGTTATTTCTGGCGTCATGCCAATTGAGCTACTTGCTTACGAGCGCACAGAGATTTACAATCTCAGTGCCGGGATAGGTCGAGCAGCTGCCGCGGCAAGGGCGCGCGAGCAACTGATCCAGCAGTGGCAACAAAAATGGAACGCGAGCACAAAAGCTCGATGGGCGCACTCCCTGATAGCTGACCTTGAAACATGGTTGAACAGACCGCATGGGGAAGTCGATTTTTACCTGACGCAATTCCTCGCCGGTCATGGTTACTTCCGAGAACATCTTCATAGAATGGGAAGGGTGGACTGACCGTTCTGGTACTGCTGTGGAGACGTCGAAGAAAACGTGTACCATACACTCTTCACCTGCGAACACTTCTTGATTTCGCGCAGAAAGTTGGAAGAAAGACGCGGAGACATAACTCCAAACAACATAATTGGGGTAATGATCTCCAGTGCAGACAAGTGGGAAGCAGTTGCGATATACGTGAAATTCGAACTCCGCTGCAAACGAGAGGACGGCTGTCTACTGAGGACACCCGAATGAAACACCCCTGCAAAAGAGCAGCCCCGAGGCTCTAGCAGCGCGCTCCTGCATTTGAAGACAAGCAGAATTGCTGTCCAGATGCGGGATTCTTGCGCTGGCGGTGGGAGTTTGGGTTTTAGTGGGTAGCCCAACACGCTTCGGTGGGAGACCCACACTCGGGGACGGAAGTATAGAGACTAACGCCCCCGGCCAGTGCAAAAAGCATTTCCCTCTCCTACGAAAAAAAATAAAATAAAAATTGCTAAGGTATTTAAAAAAAAACAATAGATGAGACATATTCATACTGAGAGTGTGTTAAACATACCTTATGTTTTGCTATAAATTCTTCTTCGGGTATCAGATTATCTTCCGAACGCATTTTCTTATTTGGTGGTTCCTCATCCACTGGTATTGGAGGAATAGACAATATTGATTGTTCTACCACATTCGATCCTGGTGTCATTTGGGGTGGTCCAGCCGTCTGTAAAGGAGTCATGTAGCCACCAACTGGGAATGGTGGTGCTGAAAAATTTTTAAATAAGTATTTTTTCAAATATATCGGATTAATTTCATACGCATCATTGGTGGTGGTGGTCTTATTGGCATTATCATGACTGGTGTTGCCGTAGGGGATAAATTATGGGAAGATGGTGGAGGGTGCGTTTGCTGTTGTGATTGTTGTTGTGGTGGATGAAGATGAGAAAGCGAGTGATGTGAAACTTGAACATGTCCCTTCGAAGCTGTCTGAGGTGACAAAGGGGGCGCCGACAAAATAGTTTTGTTGCCCACTGGTTTCGGACCGATTTTTTCTTTTTCTTCATCTGGTAATAGTCCCTTTACCTGTATGAGGATTTGTGATTGCATTATTACAAAGTACACATCGCACAATTACTAAAAGATTTCTCAACTCAAAAAATATAATTTTTTTTCAAATATATAAAATATATAATCATTATATCATGCTTCACATTGCATACGATTTTTGTTCTATATACTTGTGAAGCTTTGGCCAAAAGGAAAATATCCATATATTTGTGCACTTTGAGAACAAATTTAATACTGTAAACGCTTCTGAAAAATTAATTTTTTGATTTATGATTTATTTTTTGGTAAATGGACGACTTGTTTCGGCATTAATTTCAAACAGAAACATACTTTATGAATTTGATGAATCTGGTCCTCCAAAGTTATATTAGCTCGAGCTGCCCGCGTTGCTGCCTCCACACTTGATGTATGACCATCCCAAGTGACCCGATCGTCTTTTTTAGTTTCTTCTTCTCCCAATTTTTTACCAATTACTGTCTCCTCATCGCCCACACCGAAAATATCTGTGCGACGCTCTGCCAACTGTTTTAAACTTGCTTCAATGGCGGTACCAGCGGCGTATACTGTGTCTTGATTAATTTTTTCAACAGTGTGCTTATCACGCTGCTCAACCCAACGTGGATCCAATAAACCGATTCGCATATGTTCGGCAACTTTTGAAGCTGGTATTTTTTCCCCTGTTATTGGAGAAATTAGATATTCATCGGCAACACCTTGTTTTGGCTGCTTCTGTTGACTTGTTTTCGGATCGTATTTTTTAACAACTACCTTATCATGTGTTGGTGGCAGTAGTGGTGTAACTGGAGGTTGAGTCTTAGAGTTTGAAGGCGTATCTTCATCACTGCTGGCCTCATCCATATCTTGGACTTGGTTATTATCCTTCTTGGCATTTGTCGGCTGGTGATTAAAGGAGAAACCTTTCATTTGTATGCCAGTACGATTTTCCATTTGCGACAGTTTAACGACAGAAGATTCATCTAGGCCATCCTCTTCATCTGATTCAATCTGCATTTCAATGTCTCCATCTTCTTCCATCAAGCGCTCCTCCATTAGTACACGAGCCCCAACTTCTTCAGGTGTAGTTGGTGGTGGAAAGTTACCCGTTTCGAAAGGTTGGTAGTCTACAGTTTCGACAACCACAAAATCATGCCAGTCGATTTGGGCGTAAGCCACTGCATATAACAAATATATAACAAAAATGTCCAAAGTAATATTTTAGTAATTACCTCTTTCTTTCTCAACTTTCTCTTCTTCCCGACGGCGCTGCGCTTCCTGATGTTTCTGCCAATTTGCTCGATATTTTACTTGATCCAAAACTAAATTAATACTAGATCGACCATCCGCGCATTCTGAACGTAGTTTATTTAAGAGATCTTTTGGCGGAATTAATATTTTGGTGTATTGTTCTAATAGCTTAGTGAAATATTGGAACAAAGAGTGCTGAGGTCGTAAAAAGTCAAATTGGAAATTACGCTGTTCGCGGTTCATCAAGTTTGTCAGAAATTGTCGACCATTACGAGCTACAAACTGAGCTGTTAGCTTAACAATGTCCCTATACATACAAATATATATTAATTACCAAATTATAGTTAAACATAAATAAACAACGTACAAATCTAAAGCTGAAATAGATGGGGGATCTGCAATGAACTCAAAATCGGTAGGAGGATCCCTTGGCACAAATTGCTGTTCCGAAACTTGTTTCAAAAGTTCCTGTTGCTTTTGCTGCGCAGCGCTGGTAACAGATAATTGTTTTATTCCTGTGACAACACTCGGACCCCCAGTAGCATCTATATTTATGGTAGATAAATACCGCTGTTATATTGTCATGATGCAACTATCTTACCCTTTCCTTCCCGAAATTCATTTACTTTATGTCTATAGTAGGCATGATATGGATCCCCTGCGCTTAAAAAATTAAATTTGGCATTACCCAACTCATTTTGGCGAATTCTTGCTTCAAATTCAGGCCCATTTCTAGCAACAAAACTAGCCGTTTTGTCAACAATATCTACAAATTTCGTTAAAGAAAACCTCTAGCTAAACATTGATAACATCAGCTTAAAAAACATCGTAACGTAAAAGTAACGTCAAAAGCCATATAGAAAAGGCGTAGTTAAAAAGGATACTTCTTACCTCCGGAGGAGGATAAATTATTCCAATTATTGGCCCACTCATTGGCTTTGAGTGGTCGTCGCCTTGGGTAGACGAATCCGCTCCATTATTTGGAGCTTCTAACGAAGGCATGATACTATCGAAGTATTTATTTTTTTAATACAATTTTGATATGCTCCGTCTAATTAAGGGGATTTCTAAAAATTACAAATGAAAAGATACGAGTAGGATTGAAAAGATACGAGTAAATACAAGTACATACTCGATACATTTCGTTAGCAGCCAAGTAATTCTGGCATCGATACTTTAGAACCCAGTACTGAGAAATTATCAATATAAGTACTCGAATAAAACCCGATACCAAGTTTAATTTAGGGCCTGTGCCAATCGGTAACTTTTTTCTCCGGGGTGAGACGGGGTGGAAAAATTTACTATGGTGTACAAATAAATTTGGGGTGTTCACATTTCGTTCCAAATAGTTGGGGTGTTCACAGTTCGTTCCAAATTGTGTCTGAAAATGTAGACGTCTACATTCTGAACATTTGGAATAAACTTTTTTGTTTACTTATTCTTTAGAATATTCCTGATGATATGCTAACGTATATTTCAAACGTATTCTGTTTGTTCCGGCTGTGAAATGGGATTATCCGGAATGTATAAAGAAACGCAGCCTATATATCGCCTTTCGATTTTGTTTCTGAAAAATTTTAATTATTTAACTTAATTACCAATTCCTAATATTTGTTATTTCTTTTCCTTGATTTGTTTCTTTTCATCAGATATTGCGCTCAAATTAAATGCAAATACAAAAAACGTGCCCAATAAATAAAAAAAATGTGATTAGTATTGCCATAATGCAACCCTGCTGCGAGGTTGCAAAATGTAGACGCGTAAAAAACATACCTTTGTGTGTGACAAAATGTAGACGGCGTCGTTTTCCAATTTTGTATGGGAAACAACAACACCACAGATTTTACGGTTAGGCAACGTCTTAAAATGTAGACGTCTACATTTTCAGACACTATTTGGAACGAACTGTGAACACCCCAAATGTCTCAAAATGTAGACGTCTACATTTTAAGACGTTTTCTAACCGTAAAATCTGTGGTGTTGTTGTTTCCCATACAAAATCGTTTTCCGCCGTCTACATTTTGTCACACTCAAAGGTATGTTTTTTACGCGTCTACATTTTGCAACCTCGCAGCAGGGTTGCATTATGGAAATACTAATCGCATTTTTTTTTATTTATTGGGCACGTTTTCTGTATTTGCATTTAATTTAAGCGCAATTTCTGATGAAAAGAAACAAATCAAGGAAAAGAAATAACAAATATTAGGAATTGGTAATTAAGTTAAATAATTACAATTTTTCAGAAACAAAATCGAAAGGCGACATATAAAAAAGCACGCAAAGAAGAAATGTCTGGCAACACCAGCAAAGTTTTGAGACGATTTTGCGACGACTGCTAGAAAGGGGTGCTCACAGTTTGATGCTAAAGATGTCTCAAAATGTAGACGTCTACATTTTCAGACACAATTTGGAACGAACTGTGAACACCCCAATTGAATTTTGCTGTGCCAAATGCAGAGTTAAATTTTGACAGTTGAAAAACCAAACAAACGCTCGAGCGAAAAGTCTATTTTTGTGTGTTGCTGAAATTTGTTAAAATTTATATGTAAAATGAACAGAATAGAAAGAAAATACTTTTCGTTACTGAATCCTCATCTGTCCTCCTTCTTATTAACATAAGCCTTTCCGCGTGGTTCCCTTTAAATAGATAGAATAAATAAATACATAAATATTCGCGCATAAGTTTCATTTATCTTATAACTTACAAGTAACGTACGCTTTTTTTGCCATTTTTTCAGCTTCTATTTTGATTTGAACTCTTCATTACCGCCAAACAATGATATTTGTAAACATATTTAGAAGTTGTCAAAATTTTACCTAGCCCCATGAGCTAGGTAAAATTTTGACGTTCGTATTCACCACGAGAAGTGTCAAATTTTTACTTTGATCCGTCACAATTTTCTATTTTCTATCAATTGGCACAAGGCCTTAACACCGAAATTATTTCCTCTACGTTTTTGCCACGGCGTATTTAACTAGTGATAGCAGCACCCTTTTATTTTTCATCGCCTACCGACTTCATATGTCAAATGGCTGCTGTTGATTGGTTGGAGCAGTTGATCGTTTATTGTTTTCTGTTCTCTTTCGCATCCTTCGTATGCAATTTTTGACAGTCCTCCCCGCAAAAGCAAAACCAAAACACATGTACATTTTATTATTGGCGTACTGATACCACCTTATTGAATACACCTTGGTTTATGCCTTATATAAATCGCTTTGTGCATCTATGCAACTTACGGCGCGTGTACATTAGACAATGCTGTCAAGACAATAAAGAAATGCCTATTAGTTGTCAAAAACACTGATAATTGTCTCCGTGACGCAGGCATCCTGGAAATAGTTATGACAATACATTTTGGGCAAAATGTCGGACGTGGAAGCTGTAATATTATACTCATATCGAGCGAGCTATTTAAACTAAACCGGTTTTTTAACAGTAAACCAAGATTGTGTGGGTGGGTGACAAAAATTTCGTAGCTCGATTCTTATCGGGACGTTACACATTCAATTTTCCCCCTTTCAATTTTCAATACAGTCACATTTTCACTAACACACTGGGGATTCAGTAATTAAGTCTTCTCTCAAGTCACTAAATTTGAGATTAGCAATTAGTTACTATTTGTGTGACTTGAGACGATTGGGATATTCAGAAGGAGAGTCACAAAAAGTTCACCAAAAATGTGTGGTGAAACCAAACACAATCAAGTGATAATGTTTAGGTATGCCTTTTACCCGCACCGCTCAGAGTCGCAATGGCCGAGTGGTCAAAGCATTAGGCTGGCAGCCGAGAGGGTCCAAGTTCAAGTCCTCCTCGGCCGTAGAAGATTTCTTATTTTTTTTTTTTTAGTATTTTTTTTTAGGTTTATTTTGTTTAACAATCTTTAGATTTTAATGTTTTAATAACAAAAAAAACTTAATTTTTTTCAAAACATTTGTATGATATTAAAGCATTTTGGTTTATTTCTTAATGAAATCCTTGTTGAACTAATTTCCTCGCTTCATTTTCGCGTTTTTTTTGGTAATAAAATGGAAAGAAATAAGCTTTTCCTCCATACTTCTATTTTTGTGACCTGCTCTTAGCCAGCTGACAAATTAGTGGTTTGTTTTTCAGACTAGAGACAGCGTACTGAGGCCCTGTGCCAATCGGTAACTTTTTTCTCCGTGGTGAGACGGGGTAGAAAAATTTGCTATGGTGTACAAATAAATTGAATTTTGCTGTGCCAAATGCAGAGTAAGATTTTGACAGTTGAAAAACCAAACAAACGCTCGTGCAAAAGCTTTATTTTTGTGTGTTGCTGAAATTCTTAAAATATATATTTTAAAGGAATTTCACTCCTATTTGCCTACCTTGGGTACTTTTCTACTATTATTTTCGCAGCAATGGATTTCATTCCTCCCCTTTCCCCATCCTTCGTAAATGCAACCTTTTGTAAGGGAGTGTCAAACCGCGGCTGTCAATAATTATCTAACGTTGTATTATTGAATCATGGTTAAAAGCTAACCAACTCGAAACCATGATAAAAACATAGTAAGGTAAAACCGTTCTCTCAATTCATCGGCCATGATTTTTTTGGAAGTTTAACATTAACATTTAAAAATCAAATAAAATTGAGAGTAAAAAAAGGAATTGTTCAAAGTTGCTGTTGTTTGAGATTGTAAATGGGAATGTGTTTGTGAGTTTGTATGTAAAATTTTAAAATTACATTGATGGCAAATAAACTCCTGCGCAATTCCATTTAAAGGGCCTAACAAGACATCCGATCGCCGCGCAAATACTTTCCCTCCTTTACTCTCATCGTTCGGGTCAAGTGTGAGTAAGCATAAACCAGTTTCTGCAAGCGTACGTAAACTACCGATCAATAGCAAGACGCGTAGAGATCAAGAAAAGGGGTGCAAAAATTTTTCGTTCTGCGCATCTACGTCATAATATAAAAGTTGTTGTTGGCGATCTGTCAAATCGCATACAATTTCGACGAAAAAAAAGTAAATATAGCATAAAATTTAGTTGAAAGACTAAAATAAAACAATCTGGTGGCAATTTATTGAATCGAGAAGACGGTAAATTTATTTTGTGTTTCTTTTACATTATTTATATTATTATTTTATTTCAGGTAGTGAGTAGGGCGTTCAAATAAAAATTGCATTCTGTGGCCGCCGTTGCGCTGGCAAATGGAACGAGTAAGATTTCCAAATGAAATTGAAGCCACAGCAAATAGTGCATAGCTCCAAGGCTTGGAAACAAATATAGAAGCTATGCGATGCCAGAAAGACTACAGAGAATCGAAGAGCGCTAACCAGGAAACAGCGTAAAAGGGCCAATTCGTTGAGCAAGGGCGTGCTCATAGCATGGTAAGTAGCATCTGCGACAATACATTACTTTTTACTAACTTCCAATGCGTACTTATTTCAGGGAATACAATGCAAACGGTGCCAACATAAAATTAAACTGCCAAGGCATAAGCACGAAATTTTACCTGAAACTGTGACGCCTGCCCACAGCATCAAATAAGGATATCGTTCCAATGAAACCCAATATTAACGACGTATTTTGACGACGATGAACTCTTTGCGAACGCTCCGGGTTTTCATCACCGGGCTTGTAAATTGATGGCACGGAGCCTCGTTTCAACAATCTTCTTTTTGCATAACCTTAGAAATGTTTTAAACACTTTCATTAATATAAACACAATAAACGAAATAAATAAACATCCTACCCACTTCAAACTGCAGACTATTTTCAAAATCTTCACTTGCAAAGTGATGCATGCAAATATAGCAAGTTTTAAATTGGAAATCCTTGCTTTTCCGGCAGAACTGGATCCACTTTTTCCTAAGTTCTGGATCTGAAGGAAAAGTAAACAAACTGCACTCTGCCGCCGTTTTTCCACATTTCGCAACTGCGCACTTCATTTTACAACGTTTTTATTTTATAACTTTAACAAAAATATCACAAATCAATACGTTTTCCTCGCAAACCAATACGTTTCCCTCGCAAACCAATACGCTTCCCACCAAAAATTTTATATTATGACGCCAACACTCGAACAGCTGATTTGTAAACAAGAGTAACGGACCTGCGCAAAGCGCAATCTCTTTATTCTATCATTCTTGCGTAGAGATTTACTTTGCCTTCCGCAACTACTGCGAGTAAAAGGTATTTGACAGTAGAGTACTCTACTGGTAGTACTTGAGTATTTTCGAAGAATGATAGAAGAATTTTGCGGATCGCGCATTTGTGGTAT